GATGAAGTTTAATTGAGGGGCTCGTAGCTGTCTGCTGAAGCAGACACACACGTCATTAATGCAGTGGCTTCCCAAATGCCGCTGACCAAGGCATTTAACTGAGCAAGCAATATCGCCGACAGTAATGCTCTTAACATGAATCGATAATAAGTCACCAGTGAAATCCGGCATTCTAAGCCCTTGCGGTGAGGACTTTGGAGCCTCTACAAACTCTAGTACCCGCTCATGTCCTGAAACTCAAATGAGAAACACTGGCAATAACCGTTATGGATTCCTAATTGGTAATAATTAGCTCTTGGATTCAGCGTCGCAGTAAAAACCTCAATCAGTCAATAATTCATTTGCAACGATCATTGTAACGAGTCATTGATGGTAAATATTGTTGATTGTTAGGTCCGTAGAAGTTGCTAAACGTCAAAGTGCAACATTGCAATTTTTGTAAATATTAATTCCGGACTAACTAATTGAATTCTAACAAAGCGAAGAGTACTAGACACGCATTCGCTTTCAGTTTTATATTTATTTAAAGACGAGGTTAAATTTGACTCTTTTGCTCGAATTTTGAAAATGAATTAATTTTGGAAGTTGTTAGGATCTATTTAGAGATTTTATAGGATGAAGAAATTATGGTACCGAAACGATTTTTGCCAAAATTTTTAAAAAATTATAAAATTATTTTTTAAAAATCAGGCTCGGTTGCGCACTCCCTCTTTGGGGTATGACCGGTAGGGGTTGGTGGAATTGGGTGTGCCCCATTACGGTCGAACTTCCCGACATTTGTTTCTTCTTTCATTACTTTTTTTTATTATGTATTTATTCAATCTTTTTCTCACATTTCTCCGGGGAAATATCCGTAGAAGGAAAGTTTCTTCGTAGATGTAATAAACGCTGGGGTCATGCTACAGTGAATGCAGCGCACGCTATAGCTAGCGTATACGCAACGCTAGTTATTGTCAGAAATATTCGGAAAACAGTTGGATAATTATTTCATGCGTTGCATGCGTTTAGCATTGCATCCATTGTGGCATTACCCTTAGGGTGATTTCGCAAAGAACGCATTTGCAATTTGAGTTAACTCAAACTTCAATCAAGTTTGAGTTAAACCCACTTTACTTGATCCACTTCAAAATTCTCTCAACTCTGAAGCTGATCCACTTGAAAATTTGCAACTTCAAAGTTGACCCACTTCAAAATTTTCCAACTTCAAAGTTAACCCACTCTAAAATTTTCCAACTTTCCCTTCTTTTTTATTGCAAAATTGGAAAGGTTTATTCAAAAAACTCAACAACCACTGAGGCGATTTCGCTCAAAATCCAATGAGATTCAAGTTATGTGGAGACACTTCGATTACACAAAATTAATTCAAATCCCATCCATTGGGTTTTTTCCATTTACTATTTTCACTCATCTCTGCATAACGTCTAAAAAATTGTTTTTGGAAATTGTTGGAGATTATAATGGTACATAAAAAAACGCAATGAACGTTTGTTCAATAAAAAAATTTACGCAATTTGTTAGACGTCATGCAGAACCGCGTGAAATTAGTAAATTGAATCAGTCTTAGGTACACAAAGCTCCATCGATTATGATGGAGAGAAATCGATCCCATCGTTACTTTGAGTGAAATCGGCAAATTTGTAAAAAAATGTCATTTTTCGACGTTGATTTACTAGTTTTACTGCAATATCTAAAGAACCGCTGAGGCGATGTTCTTCAGAATCGAATCAGTTCTAAGTTCCATGAACATGCATTGATTACAAAAGAAAAAATTGAATCGCATCGTTTGTTCGAGAGAGATCGTTGGGCAAAATTTTGTTTACATATATACATACACACACAAACACACATCCGCACATACAGACCGGGCTCCGGAAAGGGTCGGGAGAGTTTATAGGGGTCATGAAACGTGGAGAAATCATGAAATTTCTAGATTCGTTTTTCGGGGTCATTACAATAACTTCCTCCCTTCGGGTCGGGAAGGTCATTATAATGCTTTGTTCAAATTGACAACTTTTTATACAACGAAAATTTCAGTTTTGACGAGAATCATGTCAGCCCCACATTTTTTCAGATTTTTCCTTGCATTTACATTGAATTTTGGGAATTTGACCCGAGTCTGGTCACCAAACGCGTCCCTGCGACTTTGGCCACCTCCGTGGGGATTCCCCGCGGTGTTATTTAGGCTTTAGCGTTGCCGAATTCACTCTACACTGCCTGGGCGCGTTTAGCGAGTTTCCGGCAACACTGCATCATGGGCAATTTCATTTAACATGGGAAAAATAATTCATCTGTCCGAAATAATTTGTTTTCTTTACGAATTTTTGAAAATATGTTGATTTAAAAATTACCATAATTTTTTAGACACTTCAATTGACAGGGTCAATTTTTTTTCATTTTTTCCGGTTAGCCAGACAATTGTAATTAGAGAAAAACGACGCGCCACGGAGTTTCACTCAGTGTGACCAGTCTAGTGTTAATCTGTGTCATGTGTGTAGGGTAAGCCACCCAGTAGATGGACACTGCCCTATAGATGGACGAGCTACTTTTGGATAGGAAATTACGCAAAAAAATGTTGAAATGCGAATTGTTGCTTTGAATTTTCATTAACTGTTGTGATTCTTATTCCCTGAATGGCGATTTTTTTTTGATCAATTTTTTTTTCAATTACCAAAAAAAAACAAACGTCCATCTACTGGGCAGTTTACCCTAATCTCCGTTTTCATTTTACATATCAACTGACTCATATATCGCACTCTGCTCTTCCGTTTTCTGTTCCCTAAATGTGTTCTCAAATTTATAAATGTTTTTGTTTCACGCAAATTTATAAATGTGATTATGTTTCACGCTACCATAGAATTTTCATTTTATCTGATTGGAGAAAATGGAAATGATTAAAATATCAGCGTTAAATCGAATTAATTGATGGCATTCGCTTTGTCAATTAATTATCCGATAATTGCATATTAACTGGATGGTTCCAAACTCCCACACATTCAGTTTAGCGTAAGGTATTTCCGTGGTATTGATTATGTATTTTGTCAATTGAAATGGGTGAGGGAAATTGGTAGAGGATAATTAATTAATTTTGGTTTATCAACATATTTTTTATTTCAATATCATGATGACAACTAAATTAAAGATAATTAACTCTCGATAGTTTTTCCGACGCACCATTCTATCAATTCATCAACTTTGGTATTCAATTATCTGTGAAATGATTAATCATTCACAGAAGATGAATACTGAAGCGGATCAAAGGCCAAAGGAAAGCAATCAATCATTCCTTTTCCCGGAATAACCTCATGGGATTTGAGAGCAGACGCACTCGTCAGCTTCACAATGGCCTACGATATATCCCTGCTGAATGCATTTTATTGTACATTCCGCAAAATCGCAGCTGAGCTCCCAGGTCCTGACAGGAGTCGACTCTTACCTGCAGCTAAGTTTCCCCAAAAGATTATTAACACGTGGAACGAGTAAAACTGAGGCGGTAGTTAGTTAGGAAATCACTGGACCATTCGACTGGAAATCAAGGAAGAAATCGGTTCCCGCACAAAATTCTTTGGGAAAAATCTGAAATTTTGTCGTATAATTGGTATTACTTTGGAGCATTTGTGGGCACAAGTTCAGCTCAATCAGCCCAGTAGTTTCCGAGATATAGCAATTTCTCAGGTATGATTGTAGGTTGTATGATACTACAGAAGTGTATTGTTCACGAGTTGAATCGGATGAGTAGTTTCGAAGACGTTCACCTTTTTGTAAAAAACTATTATGCTCAATATCTCCTGAACTACTGGGCCGATTCACTTTTTTTTTTCAAAATATTTGTCATGGTATCTTTTATCAAGTCCAATCAAAATATGCATACCCTCCCATACAAAGTTTTCAAGATATCAGCGTTTTTCTAATTTTTCACTTTAAAGTTAATGTGGTCTCCATAATATGCGTAAAACTTGGACTAGATATCTGAGATTTTGTGTACTAATTTGTATTATGAGTCCACAGTTATGTATAAAATTTTGTGTCAATCGATTCAGTACATCCAGGCATAGAGCAATTTATCCAAAAATCTTTTTTTCTAAAAAATTACACATCGTCATTTTATCAATGATTTTCGTCTCTATATGACTTAAAAAGGCATAACAACAATTTATGGTATTTTGTATTTAATGAAATGTCATAGCTATGACAGAGGTAGAAGTTAAAATTGGATGAAATTGTAGATCTTATGACATTACCGGATGAAATTGTATAGCTCTGACAGAATCAGAGGTCGGTGTTGTTTATTCCCCTTACCAATATGAATAGTTTTTGGAGTAGTTATCATCTGCGAAATTGGACGGATCCATTCGGAAGGTCATTACCAATGGAATTGGCAGAAAAAAAAGTAAATGTCACATGGCTTCTGCCAAAAAGGCTTACAACCCTGCTTGTTTTTTCAAAGGATGCAGCGTAGTGTCGGCACCTGTGATATTTTCCCCCACTCCATAGCCCCAAAATTTACTAGGGAAGTTTCTTAATATCTCCACTGCATATGCACGGCTGGGACACTGATACGCGCTTTTCTAATCCTGCCCCCTCATTGGCGGAGCTTCATTCTGCAATAACTTTTCAATAAAGCTTCGGATCGAAAAACTTCATTGGACTTTCCGATTCAGAATTCAATCCCCTATCTCCCATGTCAGGGAGTACCTCCCTTTCTGGAATACCCTGTATGTAAATATCTCCTATATACGATGCAACATTATTGAATTCACAAATTGGAGTATGAAAGTAAACCGATTCTCTGTTGAAAATTTCTTTCACTTGCGAATAGTCAAAAAAAAATTCTGAAAACTTGGTTTGTAGGGAATTATAGTAATCTATAAAAATTGTCTAGTAATACAATCTCCGGTAGCCATCGATTACTGCGGCATTACAAAATTGATGGTATAGCTGAAAAATTTTGTTTTCTTTTCGATTTTTATGAATAAAACTAACAAAAAAACTTTCCTCAATTAATTAACGTTTATTGTTTCGTTTGCTTTGTCACTACATATTCGTCCCGAGTAGATGAGCGTTCGCTTATCCAATTAATTAATCTCAATCATTTTAATACTGGAATACAATGAGTCATAGAACAAGGAATACTGGAGTCATTTAAGCATATGCAGTGGGTTATCCATCTTGGATTATCCAACCCACTTGTCATTCCGGCAGACACAGTTGGTACCATGACAGCTGCCACCTTTGCGTCCCATTCCCATGCATTTTGTTGCGCACGCCGCGTGATTGGGCGTCACATGTGATGAACTGAAGGAGAAGAAGTCACAGGTGAGACGACGATTCCTGATTAGTGCAACTGTTGGATTTTTTTCCACACCGCTGTCCACATCTTCCAGTTTCACTGCAAAGAATCCAATCTTTCGATAAAAAGTAATTGAGACATTTCCAATGTTGTGACATTGAATCCAATATGAGATCGAATCATTTGTGGGATTGAGAAGTATTCGAGTTACAGTAGAGGCTTCGTATAAGATACCTTAGGGACAGTAGGAGAGTGGAATTTCGGGAATCCCTATGCCCCCAATGCAGTGGGACATAGGGGTTCCCGGAATCGAGGCGAAGTGTTCCCCCACCATTACAATTCCCCTTTACGCCCGTTCTGTCTCTGTATCTTCCGCTCTCTATCTACTGTGCGCAATAGTATTCTATTTACCCGGTACTTCACCGTGCGTAGTTATCCGTGATAGTCGATACGCTGTGCGGGTTGAGTATACATTTGACGGTCAAGTCTTGCAAAAAATCATTTTCTATAGATTTTGAGGCGTAGAATCCGAATCTTTCGGTATTCCGGCTGTATTTTACCGCAAAATGAAAGTTATTAACAAATTAAATGTTAAAATGTGTCTGGTGCAGTCATTTTTGGTTGTACTCCAAAAAAGTTCAATGAATAAATATGCGAGACTTCATAACAAATACAGCGGTTTTTTATTTTTCTTGATATTCCGCGTAGTTTTCGAGTTATGTAATTTTTTATACAACATACCGCGCTTCCATTGAAACCGTTCACCGGTGGGGCTAGGGCTACCTCTGGACATTGAAGCACTATTAACATGATAAAAGGTAGTCGTATTAGAAAATGTTTCCACCGAAAAAAGTGATAAAATGCATGATGAATCGATCGGCGTTTGTTTTTCGGCGATGTTGTTATTTATTGACGAGATAAATATTTCACTATGACGAGGGAACGCCCCGTCAAACGCGAATGCCAACGATATCGGCCCTATAAGTTTGGCTGATAATACCATGGAGAAAATGGTCGCATTTGAAATAATTTAAATTAAAAGTATTCCACAATTGAAATGTCAATAACTTTCATTTTGCGGTAAAATACAGTCGGAATACCAAAAGATTCGGATTCTACGCCTACGCAAAATCTATAGAAAATGATTTTTTCAAGACTTGACCGTCAAATGTATACTCAACCCACACAGCGTATGGACTATAATAAGCGCGCGCAATCGGCCTAGTGACACTTTCCCCTACGGTAAGAGTGCCCGGCGCGTAACTGGGAGACCCGGGTTCGAATCCCGGGTGGGCGAATCGGAATTTTTTCTCTCTAAATTCTATTCTAAATTCTATTTGAATTTTTTTTTTAAACCATTGCCTCTACACGTATCTCTTTCTAACTCAGTGCTCTCGCTCTTTCGCTGGCGAAGAAGGGTCGTTTCATAAGTGTAAATTCCGAGAACCCAAACCCCGGGAGGCGGCCTACTGTACGCGCGTCCGTAGACAGGTGAAAAATAGGGATCAGCGGGTGTCAAATAAGATACCTCGCTCGTCACCGAATTCGATGAAATTTTCATTTTTACTGAATGAGTATCGATAACTAATCAATTTATATGTGTTTAATGTTTTGAATTTGTAGCGCCCGCGTTCCCTTTTCTCTCTAAACATAACCCCTCGTGATAGAATGACAGCTGATATTGGGGGATTGTTGGTGGACTGGCGAATAATCACAGGCGAAAAATTACGATTTTTCGATGGGAAAAGAGGAAAAAAATCGATATATATTTCCATTACTTGAAAAAAGTTGTGACCTCCCCCCCCTTAAGGTTATTAGACCCTCATGATTCCTTTATTCGTCTCTCCCGTCTAACCCTTAACACCGTTTGATCCTTATAACTAGTCTCTTCCCGTTGAAAAATGACCGGGGCCATAGGTATCTTATAAGAAGCCCACGAAACATAAACATTCGGGACGCGATAAAAATGCCGAGAGTGGGGGTAGGCCTCGAGCTCTCGGAGCGCGAAGTATCTTATAGAGAGGTATCTTATACGAAGCCTCTACTGTATTTAGCGTGACCAACGCAGGGAATTCAATCTTCTTACATTCATAATAATGCATTTAGAGATGCCGCGAGAGGAGACAAGGCGAAAGTCACACCTTTTCGTCTTATCTCACTACGTTTAGTATAGTACGAATAGTTATTTGCAGTCACATTCATATTTTTTTAATGAAATATTAGGAATACTTACCAGGTTCATCTGTGACAAATGAGGTGTCTATAGTCCCTCTTATTTCTGTTTCAAAATCTGCAAGGAATAATGCCAACTAAATCATAATTATATTCAATGATAATTTTGAATTATGACTTGAAACCATACCGGATGAATTTTTAAATTTTATTTATTTTAACCAAATCTGTGCGATATGAAATTATTTTCTGACGATTAAAGATAATAATTGTTAACACACAAAACAGTATAACATGCATGGACGAATAAGTAATTTTCAGAAATATTAAAAACGCTCCATTTTTTGTTTATAAATTTTTACTATCAAACGACAAGAAATTACTAAAATCGTATGAATTTTTAATATGTTACTGTAATTTTTTTTCACGATTTAAAACTTCCTTGATAGATCAAGCCCAGAGTTAACTCTGGGTGAACACTGGGTTTATGGAAAAAACCCAGCGAAGAAAGAGAGAAACTCTGGGAAATTTCCATGAAGCCAGAATTAACTGGGTTTGATTCATCAGGGTTCGGTTCAAGACGAATTTCGCAAGTCATAATTTAATTGATATTGCTAATGATTTTTTCAGTAACTATGAGAAAGTATATTTGTGGAGGAAAAAATTGCATTAACAATATGCTGTAACTGCCAGTGGAATGATTCCCCATCATATTTTGGTGGAATCAAGAGGTTATCAACATCAATTTTTGAAAGAATCTGCCATGAAAGAATCTGTTTCAATGATAATTTTACAAATGATCGTTAAAGAGTCGATTGTTTAAAAAATGTATCAATTTCCGAAACTTTATGACAAATTGAATTATAATTGGTGGTAACGGATGGATTTTATTGGAGTCGATATTCCGGAAAAAATCATAACATTTGGTAAAGCCTCTACAAAATATATCAAAATTTGAAAGATCATATATATATATATATATATATATATATATATATATATATATATATATCCACGCCAAATCAACAGGCCAAAAAAAAAATTCAAATTAAAAAAAAATTAGCTTTTTGAGTGATTGACGATTGAAAAAAAAAGGTTTCTCGTGTAAACCCTGTCAAACTGAAGATAATGTCATGTATGACATCTGATTTTGGAAGGTTTTTCATGTTCTTAGAGTGTGCTAAAGGACGATTTGATAACTTGAAAGCCCGCAGAAATATTGGAGTTAATTTGGAAAGCAAATTTTTTTGCCCAAAAAATAGCAATTTTCAAAAGATCATACTCCCTCAATTATCCATATTTTTCAATTGTTTTTTTTTCAAAATTGTTGTCTAATCGCCATGTTTCCGGAAAAAATTGAGAGGAAAATCCCCAGCATCGAATTTTTCAGTCCTGCTGATTTGGTGTGGATCTGCTCATATTGTATACCTACCAATACAATCTAAAAATCGCATGTATGTTTGGACTTTGTGGACCATATTTGGTTACCTTGACAGAAAAAACTAGAAACTTCAACATGAACGATTACAAAGCTTTCATGCAGACGCAAAAATAATAGGTCATTGGTTATACTCACCAAATTTAGTTGAATCGGTTGCCTCTTCTTTAGCTGCCACTGTAAGACATCAGGGTTTATTTTTTCATTGAATTATCCATAAATTTATCATTAAGGGTGCCAAGTGAATTTGAAAAAAGATTCAAAAAAAATTTTTTCTTTCCCTCTATCACTGGAGAAATATGTATTCATCCATCCGACGAAATTTCAAATCTGCAACTGGAACTAGACATCGAGAAAATAAATGCGGAAAATCCTCTATTTCGCGTGACGAACCTCGAGAAAGCATGGGATCAAATGGGTACGGCGGGTTGAAATATCTCTCTTATTCACCCCGGTACCCCATTGTTTTTTGTCGCCATCATATTGAACACATCATTCCCCATATCTTCAAATTTTTTCAAATTTTTCTTGAGTTCCTAGGGGGTTGAAATGTTCAATTTAATCAAAACTCCATAAGAGGTCGTGTATAAGACTGATTTTGTTTATTTAATTTCTCGATATCCATAAGTTCTAAAATTTTAAAATTGTCACCGATGTTCACCATCTGTCTAATACTATTAATTAAAAATATTATAACTTTGTTGGTGAATGTCAATTTTGAAGGTCATCGCCAAATTCACTTGGCACACTTAAGAAAAAAAGTAGTGAAATCATCAATAGAGCTGAAATGAAACAGTTATGAATCTCATTTTGTAGATCTCTCCAAAACCATTGAGTTTTTAATAGAATGTTTGAGAACATTTTCGTAATGAATTTTACGAGTTAGAGAAGTAGAAGAATCAACATTTTTCTCTCAACTTAGTTTTGCAGATATTTACAAAATAATTTTCATGGAGTTTCTTAACTCATCCTCCGATTATTGCAATCTATTAACGAAATACGCTTTCGGTAGTATCTTTTCTTGAGCCTTACCGGTTGTCTGTTGAACATTTTCACCGACAGCAGTAGCATAACCACAAGCAATCACTGAAGCAACCACCAAAAATACAATGAAACTCTTCATGATATTGACAAAATAACGTCCACCCTTGGTCTCTACTAAAGAAACTCCGTAACAAATAGCTGAATTAAATCAGCCGACTGGTATTGATTCAATCGATCTTAATTCCTTATATAGCACTTGAACGAGGATAATCTCATGTCCAGATGTTTGGACAAGGAAATAATAATTCAGAGGAAAAAAAATATCCTTTAACAATTTCGCATAGACGGAAAATCATTTGAGCATTCGGGATAAAACGTCGTCTAATCACACCCGATTCCCTGAATAATTTATGTGAATACTAACTAGTGAATTATCTCCAAATAATGCCTGGGAATTCCCAAAATCATCGATTACTGCGTTGTTTCTTACAAAGAGGATTCCTCTTTGGTTTCCTATTTGTAAGAAACAGTGGAAATAGTATATTTCAGGGCGAGTGCCATGGCGTTTTTTACTCGCGTGGAGTTGGCGTCTGAGCCGAAGGCAAGAGTGTCAACATTCGACTCCCACTATTAATGAAAAAATCCTAATTAAGAGGGATAACGGCCAGTTTTTTTCTACATTATCTAACTGCTAATAAACGAAACGTCTCGATTAAAAGGGATAACGGTCCGTAAAACCTGGAAGTTGGACGGCCTCAAAAACAAAACAGAACATATAGATGTGCAGAAGGCATCTATCAGGGCCGGATCGCTCACTGAAAATCGAAAATTTCTACGGTACATAGCACGTAGAATACTGGTAATTCATCTCTAAATGGTAAAAAAGATAAATAACTGGTTGAAAACCCCTTAACCCGACTATCAGTGCAGAAACCTTCGTGACTGGATTTCACGAGGATTGTACCTTGCGAGGGTCATACCTAACAAGCGTCAAACGTCATGAGGGTCATATCTCGCAAAGATCATGCCTTGCGAGGGTCAAATCTGGTACAGGTCATATCTCGCAAGGATCCTGCCACGTGACGGTCAAACGTCGCAACAGTTATACCCCACAAGGGGCCAACGTTACAAGGTTCAGAGGTCGTAAGGGTTATACACCACGAGGATCATGTCTCCTATTAGACCCTTGACGAATTTCCTCCCTGTTCCTTTTGTTTGACCCTCATAATAGTTGGACCGTTATGATTGTCTTTCCTGCTTCTTCGGTTGTTGCTTGTTGTCGTTTGACCTTCCAGATTGTCGTCTGCCTACCTCTATTGTTTAACCGTTACAATGGTTGACCCTTGCGAGTTATAACCCTTGCTATGTTTGATCCTCGCGAGGTATGACCTTTGCGATGTCTGACCCTTGTGAGGCATGACCCTTGCAACCCTGTCAACGGGGTTGCTCTCGCGCCAGAATAACTGTGTTGTTGTCAATCACGCACACCCGCGGTCAAAAAGGTCTAAAACCTCCTTGGTATACATAAAAGAAGTAATTTTATAAATTACTTCTTTTTTTACATTGTAACGTTGAAATGAAATCACAATTTAAATTGCAATATTTCTATTATATTCGGGCTTTAATAATCGATCTTCTTCTAAATTCTTTTTTTTGAATATCCGTGCAATTTTTATTTATTTTAATCTAAATGAGTTCTTGAGCGCCATGTGATTTCATCTCACGTTAGCTGTTCGAAAATAATAGTGATAATTACCTTGGCTGTCTCCGTAGTGAGTAATTCTAATATTATTTCGCTGTAACTTGTTCTGTTCGGGCTACTATTCTGTTTAGTTAGCTTTATTCTTGTTAATATCTAAATTTAAGTAATTCAGACTTCAGAATCATATATGATAATTAACTGAATTTATTCCGGGAAATCAATTGAATTGAGAAAATAATATAATTCAAAAGTAAAAGATTGAATTCATTCTTGTCAATCGTTGCTCTTTGAAATTAATTACAGGATTCAATGGCAATATACTGCGTCCGGTATATTACTACTCCACACTCTTTATTCAACGCAAGTGACAATTATAACTTTCATGAACAATCCCTAATTTATTTGAATTATTTCAGAAAGCGCTCGTTATATTTCCGGATTTTAATTTAAATAACTCCAATAACTTGAGAGTGTCAATTGTTAATTGTGAGATTCAATCATTCATTCGAGAAGAGACTCCATAAAACACGTGGCTTGATTCTATGAATATGTGTGATTGGGGAAGCCAATCACACCTGGAACCAAGACCACGATTATCCTCCCAATCCTCAAAATAATCCTGACTTTTCTCGGTACAATCAACTCGCTATATTTTCCTGATAATTTCCGCAATAATATTTACTCGTAATTAAATATCCAGCACTCAATTCCGTGGCCACGTAATATTCAATTTGTACTTACAATACCACGTGTTTAATTACCGGAAATTTCGTCTGCCCTTTTTAAAGATTAAATTTTTTCCGCTCTCTCTATTTAATATTTCCTTCGCTGAGGACGTCAGGCTTCACAGGAAGACCCTCTGGGAAATTCACCACTAACAATAGTGAATATTATTATTATTAAGGGGGGATGTCGGTGAGTTTTGAAAGTTTTCGGTAGAGCTAGGGACCCATTGAGTGATTTTTGATATATCAGGGGATATATTAAAAAGTGGAAAAAATCATGAACTCAATCGATCTTGCCCATACGTCCCCGAAAAAGGACGTTTTTTATGTTTTCAGCTACAAAAGTTTCCTTGTACCACAGTTTTCATCCGATTTACTTTTTTTTTTAAATGTTCGTAAGACTCGCAGGAACAAACGTAAGTATCCGTTTTACGATCCGTCAATGAGTGAATTGAAAGATCGAAAAAAATGGAAAAATTTTTCAAAATTTTTTTTTTCTGTTCATAGCATTCGTATTATGATATGAACAGAAAGCAGTCTATCAGCTGATGAGAAGAAGGTTTGAGAAACAAAAAACCTCTATTGTGATAATTGAGCCAAATCAGATCAATAAACCAAGAGTGAGATCATTTGCAATTCACTTTTTCTTCATCCCTTCATTTTTTTTTCACTTGAACATATTATATTATTATACTATACGTGAACATATTATATTATTTGATACTATAATCTTCAACTACTCAAAACAGAGACTTTTGCGGCATAATACAAATGCTATGAACAAAAAAAAATTTTTTCGAATTTTTTTTCCATTTTTTTCGATTTTTCAATTCTTTAATTGACGAATCGTAAGACGGATACTTACGTTTGTTCCTGGGAGTCTTATGAACATTAAAAAAAAAAAAAATGTAAATCGGATGAAAACTGTGATACGAGGAAACTTTTGTAGCTGAAAACATGGAAAACGTCGTTTTTCGGGGATGTATAGGACGAAATCGGTGGGGTGATGATTTTTTCCACTTTTTAACATATCCCATGATATATCAAAAGTCGCTGAATGGGTCCCTAGCTCTACCGAAAACTTTCAAAACTCACCAACGCCCCCCCTTAACTACTTACAACTAATCGATTTATAGTGTCACCACTATCAGATGTGATAGGGGTGACGGTACAGTGCAAAGTGTTCCAAAGATGGCTGGTCTTCGTTGTCCTAGGTCATCATCTCTCCTTTCCAATATTTCTCCAAATCTCTCAGCCAATGGGAAAATACCCTTCTTCAATTTGCATCAGAGAGATCACTGACCTTCCCGACGATGTTGTTAATTGTGTAGTCGATCCGACTATTATGTCGCCGAATGTCAAGGTGAATAATTAATTCTTCCCTAGATCCTCGTCCTTGTTCTGGATTGGTCGTGTAATTGACCCGAGCGCCGTCAATGTCAGGGTCAAGAATCTTTGATGACTTGGGTCAACTCGTCAGGGGTCTCAGTTATCGACCTCCTCTCCTGTTATCAGGCAATTGTTATGTTTCCCCTTCAGTGGCAATTATTCATCTCCAGGGTGTGGAGTTCTATTCCGGAATCTCCTATTTTGCTTTTCCGGTAGTTCCAGGTTCTCCGGGAGATTATTTCGTTGGATGAATCCCATTCTGGCTGTTGTTTTGGTGAATCCGGGCATTCCTAACCTCCAACTGTCACTGGGTAATATTATCGTCATTATTGGTTTCTCTGGACATTCTCTTTTCACCTTCTCTGTTTTTCCCCGATTGATCCTAATGAATTTTTTCTGCTTCTTCTCGATACTGGGATATTACTTTTTATATTCTTCCAGTCTTTAGCCAGTTCTCAATGTTTTTACTCCCTGCTATGGCCCCTCCAGTAGTCCAGGTCATTCCCCACTGGCGAGAGATCCTTTGAGGTCCTTGGAGTGTATTCTGGGTGCTTCCTGATGTCTGCTAGGGTTTATCCGGGTTCCGCAAGGTTCCAGGTAGGGTTTCGCGTGTTTGATTTTATTTTTACTACTATTGAGGAAGGAAGGTGAGGTCCCATTTATCATATTAACGTAATTCGGTGTTCTAGGATTATTCATAAGCAGGGTTGGGCAAGTAAATTACCTTAGGTAAATTACATGGTTTTTGACCGGTCATAAAGTAGGTAAATTACCCGGGCGAGTTGTCGGCTGTTTAATTTGTCAAAAACCTATGTGGCGCCATCTATTAGCACCTTGGAGAACCGGGAGATTTTTACCAAGAATACCGCCTGTCAGAGTTACAAGGGTCAAAATTCGAAAAAATCATACCCACTGAGGTTATGCCTCGCGAGGGTCAATCGTCGCAAAGGTCATACCTTGCAAGGGTCAAACGTGACAATCATAACTTGCGAGGGTCAAACGTCACAATCATAACTTGCGAGCATCAAATGATCATAAGCAACAACAAAGACCAAACGGAATAGTTTCAAATTATTTTTTCTTACTTCATGATCATTCCACCCTTGTCATTGTTCTGCCTACAGGAGAGGTAAGTTGAAAAATCACAAGAGTTAAAATTAAGACGCAGGCAAGCTGGAAAATCACAAACGATCAAGAAACAATCACAAAGTAGGTAAATCATAAGGGTCAATCAGGATAACTAGGCGGTGACCTAGTGACCTGTTTAACCCTTGTGAACCTACTTGCTTTTTTTGTTTAAACTTTATGACCGTTGGAACCTTGTAATTGAACCGCCTGGCGTCCCCCGTTGACCCTCTTATTAGTTTCACCCTCCAGATTGAAGGATTGCT